GCTCATTTCTATCTCCCACTAATTCTGATTGGAGCTGAATCAGAGGTTTTGGATATTCTGTCTTCTTAAAGTGAACCAATAAGTAGGAGACCAGAAGAAGGATGTGAGGAGCAGAGTAGTTCTGGATTTTTCTGTTCTAGGTGAAATGAGGTTGATGACCTCAGAAGGCAGATTATAAACTCCCCCTCCCACGCCAGATTTATACTTTACTTAGAGTGACACACATCATATTTGCTCTCTTGAGAGGGTGCACTGGGGAAGCAACTGAATGAAGAAGGACAAGTTGCCCTGGGGATTCTTGTTTGGGACAGGTTAACAAATGTCCTTTGTTGACAACTTTGGAAACAAATTCTAAACATACGGTAAAGGGATGAGGGTCCAGGGAGACTAGCTTAGAGGTGGGGTTGGGAGGAGAAAGAGAGCATCAGCTGCAGAGAAGAGGAAGACTATGGAGTCCTGGCATTTGTCTTCCCCATGGATGGGCATAGCTGCCCTTGACCATGGATAAACAGCTTAGCTGGAACTATTTGCACAGCATGAAGGTCCTGAAAAGTCAGTTTCTAAACATTGCTAGCCTGGTTGTAATTAGCCCATTTACAGACTATTGGCCAAAGATAGTAAGCAATAATTTTCTTTCTTTCTTTCTTTTTTTTGCAGTGTGCATGCAGAAATAAAATACAGAATGGATGAAAGTGGAATATTGAGGTTGAGGTGGAGGTGGGAGCCTTGTATTGCCTGTAAGTTACCTCTGAGAAAACACTTGCAAGGCGCCTGGGTGGCTCAGTTAGTTGAGTGTCTGCCTTTGGCTCAGGTCATGATCCCAGGGTCCTGGGATAGAGCCCCACATCAGGCTCCCTGCTTAGTGGAGAGTCTGCTTCTCCCTCTCCCTCTGCCTGCTGCTCCTCCTGCTTGGGCTTTCTCTCTTTCTATCAAATAAATAAATAAAATCTTAAAAAAAAGAAAACATCTTAAAAAAAAAACGCTTGCAAATTTTCAGTTTAAGGTAGTGAAGAACTTGTTAGATATGCATATATTACCTGGAAGGGCTAACCTTTTGCCACCCAAAGATGCCTTCACCTCATTCATTTATCAGGTTTATCATTTCTTTATCAATAGAGTGCAAGCATCAGAAAAACCAATGTTAGCCTTGGGAACAAAATGCCAGAATTAGAGACAAAGATACCCATTACACAAATGTCTTACAGTTTCCCTATAAATGGTTTCATATAATTCTCACAACAGTGGTGAGGGCCAGAGAGGGAATATGGTCTAACCAAATATAACACAATAATCAACTCCATCTTGAATGACACAAGAAATTCATGTCTCTGAATCTCACTGTCCTATTCTGTAAAATGGAGATCATAATGCCCATTAAATAGACTTATAATTGTTAAGGACCAGTACCTGGTGCATAGTGTATGCCCCTCAAATATTTCCCATTTTCTCTTCTCCAGTGATGGAATTCTTATAAAAGTATATCTGGCTATAGTTCAGTTGTCTTCTTTCAAATGTGTTTATAGAAATGAAAGCAAAAAAAATGTTTCTGCAGCTTTTGGGTACATTTTTCTACATATATCTATTATCTAGCTTGTTAATTGTATTGATTAAATCTTCATTTTACTTACTCATTCTTTTTCTGCTTGTTCTGTTAATTACTGAGGTACAGACATTAAGAACTTTTTACTCTGTTGTTGCATCTGGCTATTTCACCTTGTGGATATATGTACCTTGTAGATATATATATATATACGTATATATGTATATATACGTATATATATATATATACATATATATATATTTGGTCTTTGTCCATATTGTTAGCACAGAGCTCCTATAACTCTTGGAATTTCCTGATTGCTAAGAATGTCTTTTACTGGGGCTCCTGGGTGGCTCAGTTGGTTAAGCGTCTGCCTTTGGCTCAGGTCGTGATCTCGGGTGTCCTGGGGTCGAGCCCCATGTTGGACTTCCTGCTCAGTGGGGAGTCTGCTTCTCCCTCTCCCTCTGCTCCTCCTGCAGTGTTCATGCTCTCTTTCTCTCTCAAATAAATAAATAAATAAATAAAATATTTAAAAAAAGGAATGTGTTTTACCTTGAGTTTATCCTAATGAGGTGACTTGGGGGGGCACCTTAGAGAGTCTCAGAACGTGGCTGGTTATCAGAAAGACCACATGTCTAGAGGATTGGAACCTTTAGCTCTATCCACTGTTCACTGGGGAGGACAGCATGGGAGGAGGATGAGATCAATCACTATTAAAAAGTTAAACAGGGAGATTTGGGAAGCTTCTGAGTGGTGAACACATCGAGGTGCTGGGAGGATGGTGTGTCAGGAGAGGGCACGGAAACTCCATGCCTTCACATTCCCCGTACCTTGCCCCATGAATCTCTTCCATTTAGTTGTTCCTGAGTGGTATCCTTTATAATTAACTGGTAATAGTATGTACATCACTTGCATATTACTATGGACAGTATTTGGAAGGACAAACACTAAAATAATGTTTATTTCTGGATGTTGCAGTTTCTATGAATTTTTTCACTTTTCATGTCTGTCTTTGAATTTTTTATATTAAATATTTATTACATATGTAATTTTAGATAAGAGGGCTATCTTTTTAATCACTGCATTGTATACATCATGTGTAAACAAATAATTAAGAACAGATTTCTAATTTGTCAGTGGAATCTTTTTTTTTATGCTTGGACTGTGTTGCTATTATTGCATTTTTTTTTCTCTCTAAGGACATTAAACCCACTGTGCTTGGCTTAGGATTTTCTTTAGCAAAGTAATTACACTTTAAGTTCATTAGAGACTTTTGAATCAGGGCCTCCAAGGACTTTTTAAAGTAGTTTTCAGCATGCGTGTTGTGGATGGAGGAAATAAACAGGGTTGTAAGTGTAAAAACTTGTTTGTCCAGAGAAAATCAGAGCATCCACTTTTGCAGAACTAGAGAGGCTTCTTAACTTTTCCTTGCTCTTTAAAATTTATTATCTTCCTTTCAGTCTCCCAGCATAGAAATATTTCCTAATTTTAAATTAAAATGATATTTTTTATAAATTCAGAAACCATATGTGTACATATATGGTGAATATAGGTTCTTGGGGGGCAAAGGGCTAGGAATATACTTAGTTGATCTTATTAGTATGTTTTTGTTCAACTGTGAGTCTCACTAAGGTCATTTGAGATATAGCTTCCTGGTGGAACAATGAAGAATGTCAAAGGTAAGTACTGGGATGTTTTGCAGCTAACCTTCACCAGATCAAAAATGTGGGCAGGACCATTTTATGCATCATTAAGTTGGTGCAGCCCCATGTACAATGATTTGATTGACACACAGAAACAACTTTCTTTTTATTTTTATATTTTAAAAAGATTTATTTATTTATTTATTAGGGAGAGAGAGAGAGAGAGAGAATGAATGGGAAGGGCAGAGAGAATCCCAAGCAGACTCCACGCCAAATGCGGAGTCCAACATGGGGCTTGATCTCATGAGCCTGAGCTTAGGACCCGAGTTGAAACCAAGAGTGGGAGGCTTAACTGACTGTGTCATCCAGGCACCCTTATTTTTTTATTTTTAGATAGAGAGGAGAGAGACAGTGCAAGAGTGGGGGGAGGCAGAGGGAAAGGGAGAGAGAATCTTAAGTAGGCTCCATGCTCAGCATGGAGCCCATGGTGGGGATTGATCTCATGACTCTGATATCATGACCTGAGCAGAAATCAAGAGCCAGACACTTAACCAACTGAACCACCCAGGTTCCCCTGAAATAACTTTCTAATCACTCTCTCTAGACCTTTCCGCTCTGCCTATTTCTGTCTCTCATTTATTTATCCAGTGTCTATATATTTATATCCCATATGTCTCAATTACCATTGGTAAATATTCCATTTTATTATATCCCCCATTTTTCAGTATCACCTATTTGCAAACTATTTGTCTCATAAACCCAGGTTAATTTCCCTTTTTCTATCTTGATATCTGTAACCTGTCAAGGCACCATAGTAAATCTGTACATGATGGGAGTCGATATTACTCATTTAAACCTCACAGTAACCTTATGATGTACTATTCCTGTTAACTCCACTCCATATTAGGAACTGGGAGTACAGACAGATTAAATGACTTGCCTAAGATCACTCATCTAGTAGATGACAGAGATATGACTTGATCCCAGACAAACTGTTCCAAGGTCCATACACTTAATGCCTCTGCATTATTGAAACATGTATCACAGTTCAGTTGTCATGAAGGAGGGAAAACAAAGTATGTCTTGGTATCCTTCAGCTCTTTGTACTTTTTACCCATGGTTTTCAAATTAAATATTTTAACATAATGGCCCTCTCTGCTCTAAGCCCTTTCTGCTGAGCACAGATATGGAAAATAAAGGAATTACAGAGGCACTTAGAAAAAGTCTGGAGAAAGGGCCATTGAAGGACAATTTTCTGGGAGAAATCTAACTTGACCTTTAAATAATGCCTAGTTTACTAGAGGAGGGATCTGGAGAATCTTGGTAGGGCATAACCAACATCCTCCATATATTTTGCATTTTATCAGGTACCACAACTTGAAGCAAAGGAATTGTAGGATTTAGCTTCTGAATACAAAAGTTTTGGATTAAAGAGACTCTATGACCCATCAAAGTATAGCTCAAAAGTGCTCAATTCCTGACCTAATAGGGGAAATCTCAACCAAAGCATGGGCTTAAAAATTGAATTGGAAACAAGTGCTGTGAATTGGGAGACCCTTGAATATTTAAAAACAATGGCAGTAGCAGTAATTTTCAAGAAAACTGCCCATAAGCTGAGCTTCCCAGTAGTATATTTCAGTAGAGTTGAGAGAATTACTCATTAAAACCCGATTATCAAGTTACAGAGGGAAATGCATGTAACTTGATTTGCTTGGTATTGGTAAACATTGTCTGATCCTGTCATATATTGACATTGCTCCTCAGATCCAATTTCAGTGACTTTTATGTGAAGACTGGGCAGGAATATGAAGTCAGTGATGAGAAACCATTCAGCAGTAACAACGTTCATCATACTGGGTTTGACAAATGACCCACAGCTAGAGATTTTGGTTTTTATCTTTTTGTTTATCACATATCTGTTAAGTGTAATTGGGAATCTGATCATAATTTCTCTCATCTTCATGGATTCTCATTTAAAAATAGCTATGTATTTTTTTCTTCAGAATTTCTCTTTCTTAGAAATCTCATTCACAACTGCCTGTGTCCCCCCATACCTGTACATCATATCAAGTGGGGACAGAACCATCACCATCAAGGCTTGCTTCAGCCAAATCTTTTTTATTGTCCTCTTCGGAGCTACAGAATTTTTTCTCTTGGCTGTGATGTCTTACGACCGCTACGTGGCCATCTGCAAACCCCTGCATTACGTGACCATCATGGACAGCAGAATCTGCAGGAGTCTCATCCTCTGTTGTTGGGTATCTGGCTTATTGATTATCCTTCCACCCCTTGGTTTGACCCTCCATCTGGAATTCTGTGACTCTGTTATTGACCATTTTGTCTGTGATGCTTCTCCGATACTGAGGAATTCATGTTCAGATACTTGGTTCATAGAGCAGCTGGTTATAGTCTGTGCTGTGTTGACCTTCATAATGACCCTTATCTGTATAGTTCTTTCATACATATACATCATTAGGACAATTCTAAGATTACCCTCCGTCCAGCAAAGGAAAAAAGCCTTTTCCACCTGTTCTTCCCACATGACTGTGGTTTCCATCACCTATGGCAGCTGCATATTTATGTACATCAAACCTTCAGCTAAGGATGAAGTGGCCATTAATAAGGCTGTTTCTCTGCTCCCTATATCTGTTGCCCCTTTGCTGAACCCCTTCATTTATACCCTGAGAAATAAACAAGTAAAGCAGTCTTTTTGTGATGTCCTTAAAAGACTTGCATTTCTTTCACAGAAATATTAGATTGACATATTGGGAACTTAAATTAAAACAAAAAATTTATCATATAAATATGAAATCATATATTACAAACAATATATCAGTTCAGCATATAGGTGGAATGGGAATTGTGTGGTTCTCATAATAATGAGGAACAATTAAGAAAATTGAGAAGAAAGTCTGAGGAAAAATTCTGATAGGCCCAGCATTATGCAGATGGATACTTCTAACTTTTCTGGAACTTCTGTGTCTCCCTAATCTACATTTCAATCTGCTCTTTTTAGTCTTGTTAGGTATACATTAGTCATTAGTCTTGTGTGTTGAATCTATTTCATCCATGTCACTGCTTTCCCCTCTTTGCAACACTGTCTCTTTCAAAGTATTTTCTCTTTTAAAGAGGATAAGAACATTGATTTTTAGGAAACGTAAGTTCCCTCCACTTTCAGCTCTGCTTTGTTAATGCTGCCTCACAATAAACATGTGGATTTGAACAAAATTCTAATAATCATCCTTGCCTCTTCTAATCTGAACTTATTAAAACATCTGCAAAAAATCATTACATAAACAAAAATGTAACCAAATAGTCTTTAATGATAATTGATAGGCTTTCTCTTCTGAGTAATTGTTCCAAAACCAACTACTAAAGCCAGGTAAAACACAAAAATCATTGACTTAATAACATCAGATTGTGGCTGAAACAATGAGGACCAGAGGGGCTGAGATTATGCAAAGGGCAGAACTGTGGAAGGATGAACTAATTGTAAATAGCTGCTTTAGGTCTTGAGGGCATTTTCAGATTCATGACTCTGGTAGATTAAAGACACTTGCAAGTTCTTTATATTTTCTGATCTGGAAAGTAACAGTTTCTTTCCTCTGTCCTTTAATCTTGACTATCTTTATGACTTGATTTTGATCATGAAAATGTGGTAGAAGTGAATTTATATCACTTCAGAAAATAGGTATTTGGAGACCTGTAGCTTCCATCTTCTTTTTTGGAACTGATGCTTTGGGGAACCCAGGTGTTAGGTGAGGAGTTTGAATACCCTGAGATTACCACGCAGTGAGGAGAGAGATACTTGCAGAGAGGCCGCATAGAGAGCAATACTTGCTCAGCTCCCCATCTCATTCAGCCATCTTAGCTTTGGTGACATCTGATGAAGAAGCCATCTTGGACATCAGCTTTGATGAGCCTTCACATAATTCCAAATCCACTCACCACTGATGACAACTAAATGAACCACCCAGCTGTCCCCTGTCCACTCCTAGAACTGCAAGTGATAAAAACTTCTTTCATCTGCTAAAACTTGGAGTGATATGTTATACAGCAATAGGTATTCAAAAATAGGGTCCAGGGTAAGGGCTTTGCCAGGGAAACAGCAGATCTCTTGGTGGTCTTGTAAGGCGAGAGAAGCCATATTGGACACTGGAGAGGCCTTAATGAAAAGTCTTCAAGATGTAGAATTTTGAGGTTTTTTTCCCCATTCTGTATGTACAATATATCCAAAAAGTGTTAATTAAAAACTTAGGAAAGCTGGCTCTTTAAGCAAGAGCCTGCATCTGGGTTTAGTCCTCTTTCTTAAGGTTATCAGCACTGATTTGGTTCCGTTGTCCACAGCCCCTCTCCCCCAAGGCACTTGATGCATGGCTTTGGTGGTATCTGTGAGATACGCCTCTCTCCCTGCTCCTCAGCTGTGCAGGTCTCTGCTCCCAGCTAAACAGTGTGGTAACCCTGCAGCCCTACCCTCTTCCTTCCCCAGCCTGAGGTCTGAGGGCTCATATCGGATCCCTGTTTTGTATCTCTGAGACCTGGGGCCTACTACACTTTTTAAAAAAAATTTTTTTATTGTTATGTCAATCACCATACATTACGTCATTAGTTTTTTTTAATAATTTTTTTATTGTTATGTTAACCACCATACATTACATCATTAGTTTTTGATGCAGTGTTCCATGATTCATTGTTTGTGCAT